CAAATGGCCGGAATTGGCTAGGTGGGCACTACGCTGATTGGTGCGGTAGCTGCGCATTAGCTTTTCCAACCAGATCCACGGTGGATCTAGCGGAAAAGGCCAGATCAAGGCCAAAGATCTGGCGTTGACGGCCAAATCTTTGCCTTACAGTTGGCCATCATTGAGAGCAAATACGGCAGATACCCGTGGATTGGCCGGAAAGACCATAGCGGCGCATGACCGGCAAGATCCAGCGGTCATGCGCCGATAAGACGATCCTGCCACCTCCGGTGGTGGGTGGCGGTGGGGGTATTTGAGGGTGGGTTAGGGGTGTTTTGTTAACTTTTAATGTTTAGTATAGGGGGTTATTTGTAAAAAGATAAACATAGGGGGTATTTTATTAATTTATAAATCCACCTCATAATACCCGCCCAATTCAACTTTTTTCAAAAAACTTTTCCCAAAACCCCAAATTTTGACCAAACGAAGCCATAGAGTTTATGCATGTGAAAACTATGATAGCGACCTAAGCAGAACAATCAACACAACGATCAGTCGAAATAATGATCAAGCCCTCCTTTTATCCTACCACACAGTACCCACCAGCTCTAACATCATCTAAAAGTAGTGAATATTAAACACCACATAAATAGAGAACATGAATATAAATAAAGACAATGCACAGAAATAAAGAACAAGAACATAGATATTAAACATGTTAAAAACATAAATTAAAAGCATATATGAGATCTTTTATTATCTTATACATTATCAGAGTATACAACATCCTTGAGAGTGAGGAAATAGAATAGAAAGAAACATGGAAGAATTAGTAAAGATGTGTAGAAAAAGTATGGAAGTGTAGAGAAAATAGGGAAGAAAGATGAGGAGAGATAAACCAAAGTTTACAAAGTCTCCTCCCCCTCGAGAAGGTAAAAGGCTTTATTTTTAGAAAAAGAGATACAACCCTATAAAGGAATATTAAATACAAGACTAACCTTTTTGACTTTTTACAAAGGATACGGAGATATTACATTGAAATGAAAAATTACCATTTAGTCCACTCCTATTACATAAAAGACACAACTATTTATTTAGGGCACGAGGTCTTAATCATCTGACAAGTGTTAAGTGCCACGAGTCTTCATCCTGGAAGTCGAGACAACCCATGATTGAATCCAGTGCAGGGATGTGTCGAGATGTATCTGGATGAGTATTCGAAGAGATGTCTGGATGAGATGTTTGCTTTGCAGATTACTTTGTGCACGCATGTATGTTGTCACCTAGTATTATGGAGATAGTAATTACGAGACTTGAAGTTTTTCTTCTTGCACGATCGGCTGGAGTCTGGATACCACCATTCTGGATAATCTGAATGTATCGAATGAGCATTGATGGAACGTATGCATGTCGTTTGGCTTGGAGTAATTTCTCAGTGAGTATAGAGGAAAGATTCCACGGATCATCACGTGAAAGGATGGCCATATTGCATCTTGAATGATCTGATTTTTTTCAAAAAGGATTTTTTGAATTGATCTAGTCTCAACAGGATGATTAAACATTTATGGAGAGGTCATATGGATAAGACCGATGAAATGTGACTTGATGTTGTGAAAAATATAGATCATAGACTGATGGAGTGATGTCTGTGAAAAAACATTATAGACCGCCATTTGGTAGACATAGACCTTTGTATCGGGCAAGTTGGTGAGCAAACACAGATTTCATTTGTCTAGGGTTGAACCATCGGGAGAAAGTCATCAAAGAGCGTAATTCAGGGGTTGAGGTTGACTGGTTTTGGGAAATTATTTTCAACATATGATGGATCGGAATTGAATAGCTGTGGTATTGGTGTAACATATACCAAAGAACCATAATCTCTCTGGAAATATGATCAAGACCTGGAGGTAAACAAAAGTTTTGAAAAGGTAATCTGGATGGACCCCTAACATATCATACATGGATTGACCACATTTTTCAATGCATTGAAGTTGGTAAGAAAACAAAGGGTGGTAGCATTTTCATCAATGGTACGCGTTTGAACAAGGTCATCGAAATAGGAGGTACGTCGGAGTATGGGTTGGTGAAGAGGATGATGAAGGAACTGCGGATGGGTAATGGTTAGGACATAAACATGGAGAGGTTTGGATCTAGGGTTCATGAAACCAACTTGTTAGTTTTAGGTCTGGTAATAATCTGCAATGGTGTGGTGTGACCTTTGATATGCTGGACGTGAAGGAATATTTACTGAAACATTCTGCCCAGCGAAGTAACTGCTGATGTGGAACTTTTTCTTGTGGAAACGTAGCATTTGATCAAAAGAATTCATATCCGTTTCAACAAAGAAATGATGTCCACCAAGGTGGAATTCAAACCGTTCAATGGCATTTTTGACTGCTAATACTTCCGAAAGTAGAATGATAATGGTGCTGGTGGTTTGAATTGTCCACTCTGGTATCAACCTAGATGTTGTACCTTGTCCATCTTGTTCAAAAGCACTACACCCAATGAGTGTCTAGCATCGTCTGAAGAAGGGTTCCCCAAGAAGGAATCTTCAACGGCTGTGTATGGAAGATGCGGTTGAGACTCTTGACTGCATTGTCTGCTTTTCAGACCACTCTGGAGGATCTTCTTAAGCATCTAGGAAAGTGGAGTAGTGAAACGAGAAATGTTGGGATGAAAACAGGACTGAATTGGCAATTCCAAGAATTGTTGATTCTTTCTTGGTTGTGAGAACATCTGGAATTTTTGCAATCATTAGCAATATGAGGCTGAAGATCATACTTGCCATCAGCAATCACCTACCAAGAAAATCAATCTTGTTTGTCCTAAGCATTTTTCAGAGAGCATGTACCATAGTGTGGATGATATCAACAAAGTCACGAAGAAGACGTATATGAGATTCTCATCTTTTGAAAAGAGAAGGATATCATCGATATAAATGAGACATGTATGCAGAAGGGAGCAAAAATCTTCGTCATGGCTTTCTGAAACAGGGAAGAGCGACTTTAGTCCAAAAGGCATGACTGTCCACTGGTAGTGTTGATTGGGAATGCAAAAGCAGTCTTATGACGATCATCAGGATGAATTCCAAGTTGCCAAAATCCAGCTTTGAGATCAAATTTTGAAAACATCTTTGCATTTAGAGTTTGCAAAAAGAACTTGTCTGAAGGCAGAGAAATTTATCATCAAGGAGAAAGAAATTTAAGGGCTGATAATTGATAACAAGTCTGAGTTTCCTTGGCCCTTTCTCGTTTTGACAAAAAAGCTTCACAAGCCCATTGAGAGTCTGGGTCAATCAATCTTGAGATAAGCTGAGTACATTCTTGGTGGCGAGACTGAGATGTTCTGGTGACATGCCGGAATGACTAGTTTAGTGGGATTGATATCTTCACTCTTGATGAATGGAGAGGAATAAGAATTCGAATTCTTCCATAATGGATGAGCACATTTAGTGAGAAAAATCAGCATGAGAATCTGGCAAGAAGGGAAATAAGCGGGTCTTGATCTGCTCAATAGGATTGCTTCAATCTGGAATAAATTAGGCTGTGTGGTCCAGGATTGGAAAAAAATCTTGTACGCAACACCATCAGGGAGGATTCTAAGTTTATTGAGTTAGAAAAACATCAAAACCAGAACCATGTCTTTGCCGGTAAATCGGAGCCAAGAACTTTATGAAAAGTGAAACATCCTGGAAAAATTTAGATTTTAATGGGTTTCTGATCAGATGAGTAGTGAAAGTCTCATCTATTAGCGATGTATGCAAAAGACCTCCTGATGAAGTGTTCCAATGAGAGGCTGGAGGATTTAGGGTGATAATGGTTACCGTAGACCTGTATCAAAAAATGCTATGACTGAAATAGGCTTGGAGTATTTGGTGGGGAAGATCTGAACTTTTGCTGTAGGTATGTGACATGAGAAGGCTAATGATGGAAAGGATTGTGGTGGTTGTTGGATATGGTAGAAATAGTGACAATCATCTGAATCAGAGAACTTAGTATCAGTAGCTGCAAACTAGAAAATAGTGTCTGAAGAGGGTTCTTCATCCATGGAAAACCAACTTTCAAGATCATCATCAGAAAAATCGATATCTGTGAGGTGAGAAAGCTGTTGCATCATTTTGGCTGACTGCTTGGGCTTGTTGGGACAATTTTTGGCAAAATGACCCGGACGGTTGCATAAATAACACTGATTAGACTGTTTGCCTTTGCGTTTCCTTTTCCGAAGGAATTTGCGTGCTTGAAACGTCAAAATTTGCCTCTAGTCGGAGCATTAGGTGGAGAAAACTTGATGCGTCTAGAATGAAACTTCTTCTTGGTAGGACAAGAACATGAGCGATCTTATTTGCATTTGATCTGCAAGTCTGGTCGTTGACAAACCTTTGTCAGCTGTTTAGAATGCTTCATATAATCGTCAAAAAATTGTTTTTGGGAACAGAGCTTTTCCAGAGCAAGAATAACAAACTGATAAATTTCGCCAAGAGAAGTGGATGCAAGTTGTTTGTTCTGGGACTGCTTAAGCTTGGTTGCTTCATGACTTAAGGATTCAGGAATTGATGCCAAAAAGGCTTGCTTCATGTTAGGATCCTCCATACCCCTAAGTATATGATATCATTTTACCATCTCTTAATGCCTATCAAGATATTTCTTTTTTAGAGAACAGAATCGCATCTTAAAATATTCTTCTCTGACCTGGTTCCCATGAAGGTGAGGTAATCCACAGAATTCATCATACAGGAGATATAGGGCTTGGTTAATATCTGGCATTTGGATGAACAAATTTATTCTATACTCTTGAAGACTTATCCACCAATCACAGAGAATACCACCAAATCTAGTTGTAAACTGCATAAGTACAGTAGATACTTGGGTATTAGGTTTCAGCATCTCAGCTTGTAACCAGGCCTGAAATTCATACATTCGATTTCTCCATTTCTGCGGAGGAAGATCATCGATGGTAAAAGTGTGGAGCTTTGCTGAAGCTGTATAAGAGTCACGTTCAGCCATAGTATGACGAGATTGTCAATACATAGGCGGAGAGTCTGGAATGGAATCATCACCTTCAGGCATCTCATCATCGACCTCAGAAACAACAGGTGGTCTGGACGATTCAAGTTGATGGGTCATACGTTGGGGATAGACATTAGGATGTTGATAAGAAGTATTACTGTCAGAGTCAAAGTCACTTTCAAATGATTCATCAGTCGAAGGTATATCGACTTTTGATTATGTTTGGAAGGTAGATAGAGAATCCTGAGAAATACCCGAAGCGGCAAGACGTTGCCTTTCTGCCATGTCTCTCAAAAAAGAGCTCATAAAATTGGAAGAGACGGGATTTTCTGAAGAGTCAGGATCAGCATAAGGTTGGCGGTCTTTCATCATCATTATGTGCACTAGCGCCTTATCCTTAGATAAATGATGATGAGGCTTAGGAGATGAAGGATCTGAGTGACTGGAAGAGAAAGAGCCAGAAATATCAGCAGATGGGATCTACGGTCTAGAGAAATACTTTTCTCGCTTCTTTTGTTCTCGTTCCAGCTTGATCTTTTCATCACATTCTTTACGGAGCTTGGCATGTAACTGTTCATTGTTGCCAAAAGCTTGAACAACACCAGAAGGTATATGAGGTGAGACCAAAGGTTGGCTAATTTTTGGGAAAGGGGAAAAAGAGGGTTGTGGCCATGTTGTTGTGGAGTCAAAAGGGTTTGGTACCAATGACATTTCAGGGAAATTCTGTGGTTGTCTAAGTTTTTGCTTAATATATTCCCGCTGAAGCGATGCCATTTGGGTTTTTAATGACTTCATTTCTGCTTCCTTTTGGAGAAACTAAGCTGAATAGCCACGAGAGGTGTTGACAATATGCATTAATTCCTGATGGAGCTGATCAATCCGGTTTTAGAGATGATCAATTTGTTTTTGTAGCTGAGAAATCAACATAGTTTGGTTCTGAGACTGAGAGTCCACCTGATGAGCTACTAAATCCAGTTTTTGTTCAAGTCTGGTAATGGTTTTGTTTTAGGCTAAAGCATTTTCAGCCTGCCAATTGAGAACTGCTTCAGCTTGGGAGAGTTTGGGTGTGGATCCATCAGGCTGTATAGCTTTGGAAGGAACAACACTTGGTTGTTAAGTGGCAGTTTCCTGAAGAGAAGGAAAATCTGTTGTCCTGTCTTTGAGGGCTCAGGGGATCGAATCATCATAACGAACTAAACAGGGGGAGTATGAGCAAGGGGCGAATGGGTTGGTTTATGTTCTTTTGCAATCCACCACAGAGACTACTGATAACATGGTAAAGGCTGTTTGAATTAAGGGGATTTGGCAGGTTTGGATAGTTTTAAAGGTGATTTGGGTTGAGGTTTCGGAGGGATGTCCCATGAGGGATTAATGGATGGTGAATCTTTCCTGGCTGGGGGAGAATATTTGAAATAATAGTCAAATTTACTAGACGGTTGACCAAGAAGACCAACTTCAGGATCATGGTTTTCAAATCGAGAATGAAGATCTGTTTGACTACAGCGAGCTTTCTGTTTTTTCTGGTTGAAATAGTTTCGTCTTGGAAGATAATGCTCATTGATTTCCCAAATAGGATCATCACGGCATTCCGAGCATTGGTAGTCAAAATCAAATGGAGTGTGACTAGTGACTGGATCATATTGATGATAGACAGGAGCACCAAATTGTTGAAATGAATGAATGGAAAGTCCAGGTTCCCGTATTGCTGTATTGGTATGACTGGAGTAATCATGAATTGAGTTTGTTGAAAACTCAAAGGTAGAGCACTGGGAGTTGCTAGAGACTTAAATCTGATAGTTGTTGTTTCGTCCTTGTTATCATGCATGGTAGATTCTGTAGAAACCACTGGAGTTTCTTTTTTGTTAAGAGACTCGTAACTCGTCACCCAAGAGTTAGGTAACAATTTAATCAAACCATCTCTAGAAATTTGCCTGGGAATATTGATGTAGTGAGGAGTATTCTGAGAGTCGACAGTAAGGAGCAGTGCATCAGTAGTCGTAGGGATAGCGAGATCAAGAGCATGGTCTTGGATTCGCCAAACCATTTGATAATGCAAAGTAGCTGCAATACGCCTTGGATTTAAATCTGCACCAATGATCTGTAATTGAACTTTAAGAGCCTTGGAGTAATGAACATCAGAGAGAGACATGTTGAAATTAGGAAACAGTGTCATAATGACTGTCCCAGCATTCAAAGTTGTCTATGTTGTCCCTATACAAGCATGTTGACATTGGACAAATCTGATGTCTAATAAATCAATTCGAACAGAGACTGGGAGTCCTTTTCTGCCATGATAAGATAGAGCGAGCCGGATAACGCCAAAGTGTACATGAGAGTATCCGTCACAGATCCATTGAGTAATGGATTCTTGAGGGATTTCCAAAGTAACATATTGTTCTTGGGTTGTGGCTGGAATTTGACACTTGTCAAAAGTACTAGTCTGGACATACTCTTTGACTAGCTTTCTGGAAGGTCGGACAAGAGTTTTAAAGGTTTTAGACAAAGAAGACGAAGACTTGGATAAGGCTGTATAAGGATTTACAATGGGAGGGATAATGTCTTGGATTTTTTGATTTTCTGGGATATAAGATATTTCATACAAACTGTCTACCTTAGAAGAAGATCTAGATAAGCTAGTATTTATGGGAGCAGTAAACATAGATAAAGCTGAAGAGGATTCCATGTGCGTAAGTTCAACCTCTTGGATGTGTAATATCACCTCAAATGATAAGGATAGCGCAAGACCCAAATATTAAACATAAAATAAAACATAACTTATTAAACAGAGAAATAAAACATAACCAAAACTTAAAGGAGCCAATATCCGAGGGGAGGTAATCCTCCGCACACGCAAAGATTGGAACCAATAAGAAACTTAAAGAAGCCAATATCCGAGGGGAGGTAATCCTCCGCACACGTAGAAATTGGAATCTATAAGCGGTTTGGCTCTGATACCACATGGATTACTAGACCTTAGAGATGCTGTCAGAAACTCATGGAGTTTATGCATGTGGGAAACTATGATAGCTGACCTAAACGGAACCAATCAACACAATGATCGGTCGAAATGATGGTCAAAGCCCTCCTCTTATCCCACACACATGTACACCCACACAACTTCTAACATCATCTAAAAGGGCTAGGAATATTAAACAACAACATAAATGGAGAACATGAAAGTGAATGAAGAACATGTACAGAAATGAAGAACAAGAACATAAATGAAAACAAGAATATTAAACATGTTAAAAAACATAAATTAAAAGCATATAAGGGATCATTTGCTATCTATAACATTATCAGAGTATTACATAACCCTTGAGGTTGTGGGAAACTTAGAAATATGAAAGAAACATGGAAGAAGTATAGTAAGGATGTGTAGAGAAAGTATGGAAGTGTAGAGAAAATATGGAAAAAGAAGAGTGAGAGAAATAAACAAAAGTGTTTACAAAGTTTACAACAAAGTTCCTCCTCCTCCCCAAGAAGGTAAAAGGCTTTATTTATAGATAAAAGGGGTACAACCACTCATAAAGGAAATATTTAAATACAAGACTAACCCTTTGACTTGTGGTTTTTTTTTTTTTTTTTTTTAACATTAAGTAGACTACAATTCTTGACAAAACATAAGCTTACAATACTTGGCTTTTTACAGAGGATACAGTGAGATATTACATTGAAATGGCAAATTCCCATTTAGTCCACTCCTATTTTACATAAAAGACATATTTATTTTAGGGCACGCAGGTCTTTAATCATCTGACAAGTTGGTAACATGCCACGAGTCTTCATCCTGGAAGTCGAGACAACCCATTGATTTAATCCAGTCAGCAGGGATGTGTCGGGGAGATGTATCTGGATGAGTATCCGAAGAGATGTCTGGAATTTGAGATGTTTGCTTTGTAGATGTACTTGGTGCACGCATGTATTGTTGTCACCTGGATTTATGGAGATAGTAATTACGAGACTACTGAAGTTCTTCTTCTTGCACAGTATCTGGCTGGGAGTCTGGATATCACCATTCTGGATAATCTGAATTGGTATCGAATTGGGCATTGATGGAACGTATGCATGTCTGTTTGGCTTGGAGTAATTTCTCAGTGTTGTATGGAGGAAAGAGTTCCCACGGAGCATCATCGTGAAAGGATGGCCATATTGCATCTAGAATGATCTGATTTTTTTCAAAAAGGATTTGTTGAATTGATCTAGTCTCAACAGAATGATTAAACATATTATGGACGAGGTCATATGGATAAGACCGATGAAATGTGACTTGATGTTGTGAAAAATATAGGCCATCAGACTTGATGGAGTGATGTCTGTGAAAAAACATTATAGACCATGCCATTTTGGTAGACACATGACCTTTGTATCGGGCAAGTTGGTGAGCAAACATAGATTTTCATTTGTCTAGGGTTTTGAACCATCGGAGAAAAGTCATCAAAGAGCGTAATTTAGGGGTTGAGGTTGACTGGTATTGGGAAATTATTTTCAACATATGATGGATCGGGAATTGAATAGCAATGTGGTATTGGTGTAACATATACCAAAAGAACCATAATAATTCTTCTGGAAATATGATATCAAGACTTGGAGGTAAATAAAAGATTTTTGAAAAGGGGTAATCTGGATGGACCCCTAACATATCATACATGGATTGACCACATTTTTCAATGCATTGAAGTTGGTAAGAAAACATGAGGGTGGTAGCATTTTCATCAATGGTACGCGTTTGAACAAGGTGATCGAATTCAGGAGGTACGTCTGGAGTATGGGTTGGTGAAGAGGATGATGAACAGGAACTGGACTAGGTTAATGGTTGGAACATAAAACATGAAAGAGGTTTGGATCTAGGGTTCATGAAACCAACTTGTTTAGTTTTAGGTCTAGATAAATAATCTGCAATGGTGTTGGTGTGACCTTTGATATGCTGGGCAGTGAAGGAATATTTACTGAACCATTCTGCCCAGCGAAGTAACTGCTAATGTGGAACCTTTTTCTTGTGGAAACGTAGCATTTGATCAAAAGATTTGATATCCGTTTCAATAAAGAAATGATGTCCAACAAGGTGGAATTCAAACCGTTCAATGACATTTTTGACTGCTAATACTTCCTTGAAAGTAGAATGATAATGCTGCTGGTGTGGTTTGAATTGTCCATTCTGGTATCCGCATAGATGTTGTACCTTGTCCTCATTTTGTTCAAAAAGCACTGCACCCCAATGAGTGTCACTAGCATCCGTTTGAAAAATGTGTTTCCCCGAAGAAGGAATCTTCAACGGCTGTGTGTGGAAGGATGCGCGCTTGAGACTCTTGACTGCATTTGTCTGCTTTTCAGACCACTCTGGAGGATTCTTCTTAAGCATCTAGGAAAGTGGAGTAGTGAAACGAGAAATTTTGGGAATGAAACAACGCATGTAATTGGCAATCCTTGTTTGTCCTAACTGCATTTTCTTCTCAGAGAGCATGATACCATAAGTGTGGATGATATCAACAAAATCACGAAGAAGACGTATATGAGATTCCTCATCTTTTGAAAAGAGAAGGATATCATCGATATAAATGAGACATGTATGCAGAAGGGGATCAAAAATCTTCGTCATGGCTTTCTGAAACAGGGAAAGAGCGACTTTAAGTCCAAAAGGCATGATTGTCCACTGGTAGTGTTGATTGGGAATGCAAAAAGCAGTCTTATGATGATTATCAGGCTGAATTCCAAGTTGCCAAATCGCTCATTATTTGCTCAAAATGTGCATTTTTGCCTGAAACACAAAATATAATGAATTAAGTAACAATTCAGGTCAAAATGAACTAAGAAGTATCTAAAATCCGACTAAAAAGCCTAGTAAAAACAGTATAATCCTCGGATTATCAAATACCCCCAAACTAAAGACATGCTCATCCCCAAGCATCAGGTACAAACTCACAGAAAGAAAAACAACACAAAACGACAAACACAAAACACAAACACCAACTAAAAAATGAACAAACACTAATTAGTCTCAAACTCAACATACGAATTGCCTAGAAATTACACAAGTCTCAAAGGTCGTTGAAAATTTATTATCAGAAAATATTCAACACTCCAAGAAGTTATAAGCTACATTGACTGTCTTCCTCTACCGGTCCACCGAGTAGGTGATCCCCTCTTCAATCCACATTCCAACTTCTCGGATTATTTTATGCAGAAATACAAAGTTTATCAAATGGTGGCAGACTCCATAAGCCTAAATATTGAACTACTCTCCACTAATGTAGACTAGACATCGATAAGAATCAAAAGGTCTTCATAAGCTTGTAACGTTAGGCTCAGGTAGTGGGTTCCAAGAAAAAGGATAGGAATAACAAAGTAAGAGAACTCGGTTTTCCTCATGCAAACACTCACATCAAACTCCACTTCTTCTCAACCACCAATCAAAGTATCACCCATTTTACACCCCTTAAACTTATGCATTCCTTATTTTTAATTTGAATTGAACTAAAGAACATAAATTTATTATTATTATTATTTTTTATGAAATTTATAATCAAATTGAGGTTAATTACCTCTCTTATTCGTATCGCCCTTCTCACAACCCCCAAACTGTTCTTTTAATGACTCGCACTACTCTTCACTTTCTTGGTGTTTGCATTAGAGCCAAAATTCTCCTAAGGGTACGATTATGTGTTTAGGGTATAAGGATCGGAAAATTTTTGGTTTGCAAAGAAAAATAAAGCAATGATAATTCATAAGGCTCAAATGGGTGACTAGGGACAATTTCATTCACGGGTCGGCTTCAAAAGGCTCAAACGTTCCGAAAAATGTCTAAATCATTTCCTCAACAACGTCTAATCCTAGAATTTCACCTCAAGCACTTCTCTACTAGGATCTAGAATCCTCCAACATTTTCAAACTTTACCTAACCACATAAAATGAATCTAAGCATGTCAAAATAATTGGAAATGGTGGCTGAACCACTCAACAAACCTCAATCAAAATCCAGTCAATAAACAAAAACTTGAAGCATTGCTTAACATTTTTCAACAATACTATCCCAATAATCCTAGTCTCATCATGGACTTATGCAATTCATCATGGACTTATGCAATTCATCATTGGCAATCACAATAAAAACACAAACTTAACTAAAACAAAATCAAACAAAAATTTCAAAATTTTCCCCTACCCCCAAACTAAAAATGACATTGTCCCCAATGTCACATTATGCATAAATTAGGAATAGAAAACAAAATTGAAAAAGGTGCGAGATAGTTCCCTGATTAATCTGTGATATTGAAGTGCCACTCAACATTGTGCACAACCGGTCCTTAGCTTTTTCATCATTCAACTTCCGTAAAAACAATGAAAACTGTGGTGTCCACTATGTTAGAAAAATCCACTGACTAATATGAAAGTATTACAACCCTAATCTCATCTTTACATCAACCATAATTTAAAACAGAAATTGAAACAACTAAAACAACTAACACAATCCCAAACAAAATTAGCAACTGAGTTCAATGTTCGAAATAAAAGAAAAACAGAAACAACTAAAACAAATAAACATAACGAAACTAAAACAGGTGCTTAGGATTCTTCAGCTTCCACTTCTTCCTTAGCGTCGTCTTCTTCTGTTTCTGAGCCCATCCACTCATCTGAGTCCCATTCAGCCCACTGATGTTCTAAAGTATTAATCCCGACGTTGTCGCAGCAGCGAAGTTGTAGCTCATGTGTCTTCCTGGCCTGCTCTGCCAGCCAATCCTGACGTCGATCCATTCTTTTCATCAGACCCATCATTTTCTGCATCATTTCTCTCATTGGGACTATTGAACTGGATGCTGTGGCCGCTTCTGTGGTTCTCCTTCTCTTGGTGCCTGATCTGGGCCCTGCTTCTGGTTGATGTGCAAGATGTTTGCGGAAGTAGGCTGTGTCGAGGACAAGGGCAGCATGGATCAGTGGCTCATCAACCTGTACCTTGAATTTTCTTTAGTGTACAACTCTATAATGAGTTATGGGAACGGAAAACTGCCTCGCCTTGGTTTGGCTGCACGTTGGATACTCGTCAGGATGATGTTCCCCATGTCCATTCTCTTTCCTGTGGCAATAGAATACAATAAAAGTGCCTTCTCATATGTCATTGTATTGTAGTGCGTCTTCGGCATCATCCTAGCTGAAACAAAATACTGCCACAACCAAGCCACTAGTGTTAAACTAGTACCCTTAATGGTTTTCTTGCACTTCTTTGAAATATCCCAAGAGGCATCTAGTTTCGCTATGGTCCTAAGAATCACCTCATAATTTTTTTGTGTCCTCCTAAACTCCTTATAGTCATCTTGGGCAATCTGAGGTATGCCATATAAATCATTGATGACCTTTACCGTGAAAATCACATCAATACTCCTCACAAAGACAACCCCCTTATCACATTCAGGGAGGTTTGCATAAAACTCTCTCACCAGTGGTTCCACAGTCGCATGTTCGGGTTCATCCATAAAATCCTCCCACTTTCTCCCTTGACTCCACTCATCAGCTGCGGTTGCAGTCAGTCCATGCTCAGGGATAAAGCCCTTGTCTTTCCTTTTTGCTACTGCCTCATAGTTTTGTCGAGCTTTGTCACTTACAAACCGATCGTCTACTTTCTTTCCTTTCCCTTTGCCCTTGGATGGTACCTTGACTTTGAGCGGCATTTTTTCTAAAACTATATTTCAACTCAACAATGCACTCAAAAATTCAAACCTAAGTGTCCTACACCAACCAATTCAAACTTGAAAAAGAAAATTGACAACACTTCCAAAAAGTTGCACGTCAACCCCCAAACTACAATTTTTCCACAATCACCCAAACACTTCAAAATTGAAAGCCCACACTCCTCAATATCACACAACACACACAATCCTTCCTTAAACAAAATCAAAGGCACAATCACCAAAAATTCTCACATCCACCAACAATCAATAAATTTCAGATCCACAAATTAAAACTCGAAATTTTTGAGAAACAATCTTAGAGAATGTGAAATCTTACCCAAAGTAAGGAGTACTTGCCACCAATTGAGACAAAATCAACCTAGAATGCAAAACTCCCAAATCGTTGAACTTAAAAAATTTCGTGACTTTTCGCAAAAATTTGTGCTGAAACGTGTTGGTTTGGTGTTAAGGAAGGTTAAGGAGCTAGAAATCTTGTCTGGAAATCACCGGAATAGCTTTGGAACGAATGTTGGAAAATTTTTCTCTGAATTGGAATTGAAGAGTTGCGTGAAAAGTGAAAAACGAAAATGGGTATTTATATAAAACATTCGTCGCGAGGCGAAGAACAAGCTTCACCGCGGTGAAGTTCTTCGTTCAAAAACCCTAATTTGAAAACCCAGGTCTCGCCATGGCGAAGAAAAATACTTCACCGCGGCGAAAAATTATCGAGGCCACAACGCTGCGGTGACAAACTATCTTCGCCGCGGCGAAGTTCCCTTAATCAAATTTCACCAAATTCGTTCGCCGCGGCGAAGACAAATTTGTCACCGCAGCGAAGTTCCCTTAATCAAATTTCAGGTTTTTTTCCTTGATTCCCGATTTCACCTAAAACACAACCAAAAAGACATCAATTAAAATTCAAACAAAACTAAACAACTACAAACCAATCAATAAAGAGAAATAAATAAAAACACTTGGGTTGCCTCCCAAGGAGCGCTTGTTTATAGTCGGAAGCTTGACTTTCTCAATTCTTCAAGTCTGAATGTCAAGCCGAATCAGGATGGACTTGCAACTCATCACCCCATCCATGTATGGCTTTAATCTTTGACCATTGACTGTAAAAGTGCCATTTTCTTCATGTGAGACTTCCACCGCTCCGTATGTGTGAATTCTTCTAACTGTGAATGGTCCGGACCATCTAGACTTAAGTTTTCTGGGGAAAAGCCGAAGTCTAGAATTGAACAACAACATCTTCTAACCTACTTCAAAGTTCTTCTTTCGGATATGCTTGTGATGCCACCTTTTTGTCTTCTCCTTGTAGATCCGGGCATTCTCATATGCTTCGAGACAGAACTCATCGAGTTCATTCAAGGTCAGTATCCTTTCCTCCCCAGCAGCTTTCAAGTCCATGTTTAGCTGCTTGACTGCCCAGTATGCCTTATGCTTGAGTTCTACTGATAAGTGACACGCTTTCCCATAAACCATCTTAAATAGAGACATACTAATAGGAGTTTTAAATGCAGTTCTATAGGCCCATAACGCATCATCCAATTTCCGTGACCAATCCTTCCTAGATGCATTAACTGTCTTTTCTAAAATCCCCTTAAGTTCTCTATTAGATAGTTCCACTTGCCCGCTCGTTTATGGATGGTGGTAAGAATCAGCATGCATGAAGAGTGGTGGAGATGGAGAATGAAAG